GAAGACGCTAGTCACAAAAACCCCACCGCCTTTGTAAAATTCTAACACTGAAAGAAGTATGAAGATTTCATTTTGTATCTATTATTTAATTAAGTATACATTTCATGATAGAGAGAGTCGTATCTGATGGCCTCGTGCAGTTCATTCAGTTCAGTTGTTTCCATGGCAACTATATGTACTATGTACAACTATATGTGAGAATTCACTAACTGCATTATCGTTCCTTGATAAACTTTGTTATCACATTTAATAAAATTGTGAATCAACTTACTTTCATTTGCTGGTGGAGGAGATGTGTTTTATAAGTTTGTTGTTTACAAGCCAAATAATCATCTTGTTGTTAGTCTGTGCATTTGTTCTTTTGTCTGACATTATTTCTTGGACATGCCATGACTGATTTTATTCAAAGGTGGGTACACAGAAAATGATAATGAAAAACATGCATGCTAATTTGTTTTTTGTTTCATTTCATTTAATTGTGATCTTTGACTGACTGGTGGCCATTTCCCCCTCTCCCTCCTAAAACTCATCAACTGTTTCTCATGCATGCCGGGTCAAACTAGGTATGGATATCACACATGATTTGTTTGGTTAGTTGATTAAAAATGGCTGACTGACGGCCATCTTTGTTTTATTTTCATGTGTCTAATTATTAGACATCCTTTAAACAATTTTGTTGAAGGTAGGTACAATAACAAGACATAATGGTATAAAAATGTATGCTGGTTTGTTCACATTCTGATGACCCTTGATTGACTGGTTGAGAATTGTCTCAAAAAACAACATTAGACATGTCATCAACTGTTTCTTAGGCATTCTTGGGTTATTTCATTTAACCTTGGCATTGACATCTTTCATGGTAGATTACTGATGCATATGATTTTGTTTCACGATTTTATTCAAAAACGTTGATGGGATTACTGGTACTTGTTTTTACGATTACAAAGTCAATGTTCAGATATCTCAGATTTGAATTTGGTCACTCAGCAAAACACGAACAATTGTTGGTGCTTTTAAAATGTCTACATTTTATCGGTACACATAAATCAGGTACTTGTAATTCAAATTCTAGGCTAGGATCCATGGTTTTCTAAAGTCTTCAACACATCAACAAATAACGCATACATGTATTTGTAGGCACAATAATTGATAAACATAATCACAGTCAGATATTGTTTGTTTATTTGAAAATGCCAACATCATAAAAAGTATGTGTCATTGACAGTTCTCAACAGATACACTATACTGTGCCACGTGTCATTGACAGTTCTCAACAGATATGCTTATATTGTGCCATGTGTCATTGACAGTTCCTCAACAGATACATATATGCTATATTGTGCTATGTGTCTTCGA